GCCAGGAGTAATTGCTGAGTGCAGAGCCAGAAGTAACCCCTGTGCATTGTCGGGTGTGACCCAAAAAGCAAAAAAAAAAAAAAAAAAAAAAAAATTTAATGTAGCAAAATCTCTAGGAGAATATGATATAGGTAAATAGATTAAGGAAACATTCCCCCGCCCCCCCAAAAAAAATATCCTTTCCAATTGCTCTGTTTTGAGTGCAAACCCCCTTTATGTAAAAACTCTGCTCCCTTTGAAATTCTTTTGGGTCGACTGCCCCTACTCCAACTTGACCTTGAAAGAGGAAGTGTAGGCCAGAATGTGTGATCTCTTTCCTCTCCAGTCATTATTGGTCCTACAGTTATCAAGGCCCAGCTCCATGTGAGGCTTGGAGCACACCGCCAGAGTGAGGGGGAACTAGTAACTCCTCATCCATACGCATTGGAAGAGCTAATCTGGATCAGGTGACAAAAGACTGCCACCCGAGAACCTCAGTGGAGAGGTCCTTACATTGTGATCCTGACCACACCAACTGCTCTAAAGGTGGATGGAATCAAAACCTGGGTCTACGCTTCACACATAAAAGCTGCCTACCCCCTTGGAAACAGAATGACACCGGCCAGTGGCATGTCCGGACAACGGGAGACAACTCCCTTCAAGATAAAATTGAAGAAAGTGACTTAAAGAAACCATGGGAAAGGCATGGATTATTCTCTGTTTCTGCATGCTCTTGGTGACAGCTGCAGAGCGAGTTCCTTACATGCCCTAGTCTTGGCACTGAGTACTTTCTGATACCAAGACAGGTAGAATTAACCTTGATCTGTGCCAGTATGGCTCATACTGGAACTTGTGTTTGTTCAGGGATCTACAACTTGCAAGATTTCCCCCACCGAGCCTATTGTAACCAACTACAGAGTGGCCTCCCAGAGATTATACCACAGGGAATGTGAAGGCGAGATTAATGCCATGACAGGCTGCAGCTAACATTAATTCTCAACGAGGCCTCAGTTTCTGTTTTTCCCAAAGCAGGACTTGTAGTTGCTGATAAACTTCCAGTTGAGTAATCTGCCTATATAAGGAACTGGGCAGTTGGGTCTGGCCAGTCATGAGGGGTCGCCACACCCTTCTCAGAAAAACCCTAAATTGTTAATTGCTGACCACTATTGTAATAGGGTCAATGTTAAAAATAAGCCAGTATATCAACTGATCTTAACTTTGAAACCTATATAAACCACTTGTGATTTGGAGCCAGGGTCCTTGTCAAGACTCCACTGTGTTGGATGAGACTTGGACCCTAGCTTGAGCTAGCAATAAAGTTCCTTTGCTTTTGTATTATTGTGTGTGGACTTGGTCTTTCCACAACTGGGGATCTGAAACTCGAGCCCAATAAATATGAAGGTATTTTCTTTTCCTATCTTGGAAACATGTAGCAAGACCTTTATAGACATTACAGCCATAGTGATATTAGACATGACTTCTGTTCAGTCTGGCTACAGGAGCCAGAAACTAAAAGTCCACTCATGCCTACTGAGAAGAACTGAAAGTAATGCTCAAGCTTGCAAAACTGCAGGTTCCTCTCCCTCTCCTCTCTATCTCACTAGCCATTCTCTCCCTCCTACCTTATTATGAAAAATTTCAGATGTACAGCATTATTGTGATATTTTTCCATCAAGCAGTAAAGTTGAAAGAACTTGGAACAAGTGCATGGCCAGATTTAGATTCTTCACCAACCACTCATCTAATTCACTTGATCATATTTCATCTCACCATTCTTCCTCCATCCTGTCTTCTTCATTCATCAGTCATCTCTGCTGATACATTTTAAAGGAGGTTGCAGAAACTAGTACATCTCATGGGTCTAGGAATATAGCTAAGAAGTACAGCATTTGTCTTGTACTAATGAGGCCCTGGGTTCCCTTCCCAGCACCATTTAAAAAAAATTAGATTTGGGGGCTAGAATGGTAGTACAGTGGGTGAGGCTCTGGCCTTGCAAGTAGTGAACCTGAGTTTGAGCCCCAGCATCCCATATGATCTCCTGAGCACTGCTAGGATCATTAATTACTGAATGCAAAGTCAGAAATATCCCCTGAGCATTGCCAGGTGTTGGCCCAAACACAAACAAAAGAAAATTACATTTCATCCTTAAATATGTCAACCTGCATATAATATAATTAATTGGACTTTTTAACATCTTTCTGTTTGTGGACTTTTTTTTTTTTTGGTGGAGGAGATACCTGTTTGTGTTCAGGGTTGAAGCCTACTTCTATGTTCAGGGACCACTCCTGGTGGGGTCTGAGGGACCATACAAAGTGCGGGGATAAAACCCAGGTTGCTGCATGCTGGGCTAGTGGACCTAGCTGCTGCACTGTCCCTCTGGTTCTATGGTCTTTTATAAAGTTTGGTAGGTGGGAAAGATAGCTCACCAGGCTGGGTACATGCTTTCACATGGGGTTAAATCCCCAGCACCACAAGGTCCCCTAAACAAGACAGGAGCTATCCTCAAACATGGAGCTCCTGAACATCACCAGTATGGTTTCAAAACCAAAACTTTGAAAAAGGTAAAATTTGGCACCAGAGAGATAGTCCAGGGGGTTTAGGCTCTTGCCTTGCATGTGGTCACTGGCCACAACCCTGTTTAGAATTCCAGGCACCGTTTATAGTCCCCTGAGCATGACCAGGGACCACTTTTGAGCACAGAGCCAGGAATAGACCCTGAGTACTACCAGGTAAATTCAAGTAAAACTTGAATACTAATAAAATGCATAAATCTTAAGTGGTTCTTAGATGATTTTGATAAATGCATTGAACTATGTAAAATAGTCCCTATCTCAGAAACTTCATCCCTTTAGTGTTCCTTCTCCATAAGTCCCCACCCCCATGCCTACAAAGGCACTCTAGGAGAGTTAGGGTTCTCCTGAGCCTAAGGAGTGGGAGAAAAGGCCAGGAGAGTCTGTGGGAAGTCTTCCCTTTACCAACACAAACCTGTTAAGTCTTTTGTTCAAAGTAACCACCAAAATTCATTCAGGTACACTGCATAGTCAGTGCTCGTTGAAGGCAGTGGTGATTAATACTGCCAAGCCACTTTCTGGCATAAACTATGTTCCTCTGTCTGTCTATCTCTTTTTTTTTTCATTTTAAACTCTGGGGCCAGGGGGCTGGAGCGACAGTACAGTGGGTAGAGTGTTTGCCTTGCACGCAACCAACCCGATTTCGATTCCCAGCATCCCATATGGTCCCTCGCGCACTGTCAGGAGTAATTTCTGAGTGCATGAGCCAGGAGTAACCCCTGTGCATCACTGGGTGTGACCCAAAAAGAAAAAAAAAGATCTGGGGTAGAGAGATAGGACAGCAGGTAGAGAGCTTGCTTTGGATGTGACCAACCTGGGTTCAATCCCCAGAACCCCAGATGGTCCCCCTGCCCTGCCAGGGGTGATCCCTGAGTGCAGAGCCAGGAGGAACCACTGAGAACCTCCAGGTGTGGCCCAAGGTGGGATCAGGGGAAAAAATGAGGGCCATAAAGCTCTTGTGTTTCAGTGGTTGATGTTTATGTATATGCTGACATTTGGTCCCCTTTACTATAAGCACTTAGGGACTCCCTTATTTCAATTTCTTTCTTTTTTTATTTTTTGTTTGTGTCTGGGTCATGTCTAGCGATACTCAGGGATTACTCCTGGCTCTGTGCTCAGTAATCACTCCTGGCAATGCTCAGGGAACCATATGGGATGCCGGGGTCTGAACCTAGGTCAGCCAAGTGTAAGGCAAACGCCCTGCCTGCTTGTACTATGGCTCCCACCACTCAATTTTATTATTTTTTTGTGGAGGGAATGGCACTCAGGAGGCGGTCCACTGGCAATAATTTTCCTCAGTTGGTGATTGAAAGCAATGGCCTGAGAATGTGATGACGCTTGGAACCTATGATGACAAAGGTGTCTGGGTCACCTGCAGTGATGGGATGGGATCCTCCAGGGCTGCACCCAGCAGTGCTCAGGGGACAATAAAGGTCTGGAAATTTACCCTAGTGTGTGCTAAGGTATGTGCCCTAAATGCTGTACTATCTCTACCCCCTCAGATAGACTTTTATATTTCCTCAAGGTACCCAGCATAAAGCTGGACTTGTTATAGATGGTTACTAAGAAAACCTGTTATCACTTAAATTGAAAGAGATCCATTCCTTGTCATGACATATTTAGGGACCTCATTCCACAGGAATGACCAATCAGTAGCTGCTGGAAGTCAGACACCTTCCACCTTGAAATCTGCAAAACACTTGCACCAATGATGGAGAACATGACTCAATATTTCAGTGTCTTCGGAGTCCCTCAATTCCTGCCCATGCAACTTGGCTTAGGAATCATTGTAACTAAGCAAGGCCAGCACTCCTGCCAACTGCTGACCCCCAATCTAATGTCAGCTCCAGGTTGGGCACTGTCTCATGAGCAGAGGATGGTTAAAGCTGACAACTGGTTAGACCAAGCCAGCCTGGATTATTTCACTTAATTGCAGCATATCACAGTCTGCCACAGCTGAGAATTCCTTCCACTGGGAGAATCAGTAAGTAAATGGTGGTGGTTTTCCAGTCATCCCATAAAATAAAATTTACCCAAGGCCCTGGTTCTTGGCATGTGAAGACAGATTGTGTTTCCCATGCCAGGACTGTTTCCCCAAACTATTACTTTGTTTATTTCCCACTAGTCTTCAGATATTGGGTTAACTGTCCCATTCTCAGGGAGCCAGGGTCTGGGGACAATACCCCAACCACACCCTGTTTTCTGTATTCTCTTCCACTACCCTAAAAACCACTGTGATGAAGGATCTAAATCATGGGCTGCCTGTCCCCAGGTCTGCCGTCACAGTGGAAGGAAAGACCCAGGCATGTGGGAACACTGCACAGTGCATGTTTAACAGAGGCCTGGCTCTGAAAAAGTACACACACACACACACACACACACACACACACACACACACACGTCTACATGCAATGACCTAAAAAATTAATTCAGCTGAAAGGATTTGCTGACCTGGTTTTAGGTGCTTGACCGAGGATCCCACTTTTACAACAGTTCCTGAAGCTTCATGCCCCAGTACCATTGGCTTTTTCACGATAAAATCCCCGATCCGACCATTTTGCCAGTAGTGGACATCTGAGCCACAGATTCCAACCGAGTGCATCTTCAGTAACACCTCTAGAAGAGAAAGAAGGGGAGGATAAGTGAGGACTGGAAGCAGTTCCCTCCCTCTGACCACCCCAGCACTTTACCTGGACAAGGGAGAGGGTATGGTATCAAAGGTCAGGCACAAAGCTGAGAGCAGAGAAAAAGCAGCTAAATATCAGCTTTAAGTCTTTCAAAGCATAAAAGAAAAAGAAAAACATCCACAGAGCAAAGTAACTGCTTCCATATGTTAACTTAATTAGGTGATGGTTTCATAAACATTAGATGTTGTGAAGATTTTTTTAAATGTGACTAACACTTCCGCATTATTAACACTTCTACTGCATTCATATTGGCTAAGTAATAGAGGCAATTGAAGTATCCATAATGATTAAACATATAAAGTGTGATGTATAGATTTAGTCAATTTACTGAAATTCATTTCCAGAGATAGAAAGAGCGAAGATTGGGGGCCAGAGCGATAGTACAGTGGGTAGGGCTCTTGTCTTGCATGTGGCCAATCTGAGTTTGATCCCTGGCATCCCATATGATGTCCCGAGCACTTTCAGGAGTAATTCCTGAGTGCAGAGTCAGGAGTAACCCCTACGCATTGCTGAATGTGGCCCAAAACACTAAAAAAAAGGAGAAAGAATGAGGAATGGGCAAAATGAGGATCAAAGTTACAATCTTCCACTTACAAGGGAAAAAATGTGAGGCTAGGGAGAGTTAGAGAGTTAGAGTATGCTTTGCATTCTGGAGGCCTGGGTTCTTTCCTGGCACCACACTGTCCTAAGCAACAAGCTAGAAATAGCCCCCGAGCACTGCTAGTTGTCGCCCAGAAAAAGGTTCTCATAATTAAAAAAAAAATGTAGGTATGCGTAGTGGCACATTTTAACTAGTTTTACCAGAATGATCATTTTGCAATATATACAAATTATTATAAACTCATATTGTATATTTGAAATGAACACAATGTTATTTGTCAGTTAACACAGTATATTACCCTCCGTAATGTGGGAAAACCTCAAATAACAAACTGAAGGCCTTAAGAGACTGAAGGAATTCTCTTTTAGACAGTTTTATCACCTTTACCCAAACATTCAGTCCTCTGATGGGCCCAGAAAAATTCAGATTTGTTCATCCCCACAATCATATGAGCCAATTCCTTAAACCAAATCTCCCACTGAGCCAGAGATGTGGCTCACATACCTTCTTATGTGTGAGATTCTGAGTTTGATCCCTGGCATGGCACAAAAATAATAAACCTCCTCTCTTTCTCTGTATTACATATGTAATAACATGCACAAAGGTATAAAACAAATTAAACTTTCTCTGTTTTCTGGAGAACACTGATACAAGAAAAAAAAGAAAAACAATATATTATTAGTAAAAACAATTGTATTAACTACACAATAAAAGAGATAATACAGAGATTAAGATGCTTGCCTTGCATGTGGTCAACCCCAGTTTGATTTATGGTACCACCTGCGATCCCCTGAGCACTGTCAGGAGTGATCCCTGAGTGCAGAACCAGAAGTCATCCCTGAGCTCTGCTGTGTTTGGCCTCCAAAGTGAAAAAGAGAAGAGGGGGAAAAATGTGGGTGGTGAATATGCCTGATTATTATCTCCTTATAGAGAAAACTGGCAGAATTTGGGGCTGTGTCAACACTTAGTGTGAGTACCAGTCTACGTTCCTCATGCCTATTGTTTTCTTTAAAAGTACTGCTTTAGTGTAAACCATCCAAAGATTTCAGCTGATATTCCCCCTTCAGAGTTTTGAATGAAGCAAGATTTGGTGGTATTTTTGTTGTCAACTTTCCAAATTTAAAATAATGATGTTGTCGACAGGTTTTGTTGAAATAAGCAATAAAGGATTACTGGCCTCACTTGACCAAAATGACCATGACACAGCAATTTCCCTGAGAAAAAGCCCTGCCTTAAAAAGACAAAGAGATCCACAGCTCTGCTATGTAGTCAGCTGTCTCACAGCTTGCTAATCTACCCTTGCTGCGGGCAACCCACTGGGTATGACTCTGGAGGACCTGATTTGTCCTTGGCTTTAGGAAAGAGAGTACAAAATGACAAGTGAATTCCGAGATCCAAGATAGGAAACAATCTTTTGGGTTAGGAAATTTAGTCCTCTCCTGAAGTTACCAATTTGTGATTAGTATTGTAGCACTGTCCTCCTCTTCATCGATTTGCTTGAGCGGGCACCAGTAACGTCTCCATTGTGAGATTTGTTGTTACTGTTTTTGGCATATTGAATACACCACAGGGAGCTCTGCCATGCGGGCAGGATACTCTTGGTAGCTTGCCAGGCTCTCCAAGAGGGATGGAAGAATCAACCCGGGTTGGCTATATGCAAGGCAAATGCCCTACCTGCTGTGCTAGTAAATTTGACTAACAAGAACCCTCACTCTCATGTACCTAAGAGGTTCCCTTTCGAGCCCAAAGATAGCAAGAGACTGGAAGAGTGGGAGCAAAATCCTGGGGTAGAGACACAGCTCCAAGTGTTCTGGGTGGATGCTGGGTGACTGCCTTGGGCAATCAACCCTGATTTGGAGGTCACTATGGAGTGCCGCTCTCACATGGTATTGTGATGAGACCATGAAAAGCCCTAATTATACATCACTTTGCTAACCACTGATAGAAATGGCTATTGTCTGTTTTCACCTTTCCAAGTCAATAACTCAGTTGGCCTTTAAACCTGCAGGAAAGCTGCTTTCAATCTTTTCACACAGAAGCTTCCTTCAATTGAGGGGTGAGGGGAGCCAAGGTGGGGAAGCACATCCGAAGGGAGAGTTGAGTGACTGTCGGGGATTCACAAACTGTGGCCACTCTGCTCCTGCTGCCATTCTGGCCTGAAGCCTCAATTCAGGGTCCTGCAGATCAGCGGCCGGAGAGAGCTCAACAGGCTGACTTCACGCTGTGCGGAGGGGAGGGAGGCCTGGGTTTGATCCCAGAACCTCACAGTGTTCAAAGCACTGCAGGGAGTGATCCTTGAGTGCAGGGCTGGGGGTAGCCTCTGAGAAGCACCTGGTATAGCCCCCAATAAAACAGACCTCAGTGTCTTGTGGATTAGAAATAAGTGGACTCTGGGGATGGGAGGGTTGAAATCTGTCCTCAGGGATCTGTTGGTACGACCTTTCCAGATCGACCTTGCACAGGAAACATGCGTTTTAGCTCAATCCAGCAGGGTCTTAAGCATCATGAGAGTCAAGAAGGAATAGAGCAAAGGGATCAAGAGCCCTGTCCCAGTGTGCTCACCCACTTTCTGCACCTGATAGTCAGGGCAGTGGGGAGACACCAGCAGCCCCTCCCATCCTCACCAGCCAGAAGCTTCTCGGACTGCTCCTCTCATCGAGAACTGGCCTTCTGCAGACTAAGTTCTGAGGACTCGCCCCTTGACAGATACTGGGATTAGACAACCACTTAGCAATTTATGATAAGATAACACAAATCTGTCATTTCTACCTTTGAGCCATAAACTGAAAACAAACATAGGCATAGGTTTCAGTGGAGAAGATATTAACTAATAGGAAAAGGCAGCAAAGCACATGCAGAATGGACACCAGAACACATGAAATACAACCTCGAAGGACTTACCATTCTGGCCTGGTTCAGGAATAGGATAGTTCTCCTAAAGAAAATAAAACAGAAAAAAAAAATCCTTTAGCATGAACAATAATTTTTATCCTGAATATTTTTTCCACCAGTTAAAATGAAAGTGGAGAACTGGAGAAATAATACAGGGGTTAAGATTCTAGGGCTGGAGTTGGCAGGACACTTGCATTGCTTGTGACTGACCCAGATTCGATCCCCAGCATACCATATGGTCCCCTGAGCCTGCTAAGAGTGATCCCTGAGTAACTACTGAGTATCAGCGGGTGTGCCCCAAAACCACAAGAAAAAGGTTTTCTTGCACATAGCTGAACCCGGTTCAATCCCCAATAGCACATATAGTTCCCCAAGAACCACCAGGAGTGACCCTTGTGCACCGGGACAGGAGTTAGCCATGAATACTGCCAGATGTGGCTCAAAAGCCAAAAAAATAAAATAAAATGAGAGTGGAGTTTCATTCAGTTATTTCTGGGCCAGCCTATATATCGTGACTGAAGGGAAGTCAGGGGGATGCCTGAGAATTGTGGCTTCTAATGGCCAACCTCACCCCAGCCCCCCAGGGCACTCTGCCCGACTCTAAGGAAAAAAGGGTGCTGTGTGCACCTATAGGACTCTAAGGGAAAAAGGGTGCTGTGCGCACCTATAGGCAGAATCTAGGAACTGCACCCAGGTCTCAAGCACCACCTTCTCTATCAGATCCTTCTGTCCAAGAAAAACATTCTTAGATTTGTTTGGTCTGGCAAATGCGTCCAGGGAAAGCAGGAGGGTGCCCTGGCTACATCTGAGGATTTTCTCACCAGACAGGCTGGGGACAGCGTAATGCTTCCTTCCAAAATATTTGGTGGGACGAGAGGCCCTTGTGAACACTCTCAGAGGTTCAAAAAGCAGCCTGACTCTTTTTTTTTTTTTTGCTTCTTGGGTCACACGCGCGATGCTCAGGGGTTACTCCTGGCTCTGCACTCAGGAATCACTCCTGGTAGTGCTGGGGGAACCATATGGGATGCCGGGGATTGAACCCAGGTTGGTCATGTGCGAGGCAAACACCCTACTACTATTGCTCCGACCCCATAGCCTGATGATTTATGTACTTCATACGCTCCCTTATTCCTCAGTTTTCACTGCAGCAAGTCCTTAGGCCTGTCTGTCTCTAGTGCCTCTGATCTTATCACTACTAAATGCTTCGTAGGATTCAATGTGTGACCTGAAAATTCACATGTGAATAAAGGTTCATAGGATTCTTCAAGAGTCTTTCACTGGTACTGGGATGAGGGATGGGTGTTGGAATACAGCATGACTGAAATCCAATCATGAACAGCTTTGTAAGAATCTATCTCACACACACACAAAAAGCAGCCTGAGCAATTCTGCCACTGCTGCTGATTATATGTAGTTTATTAAGCGCTTTTTTTTGCTGTTATTGCCAAAATATTTAGGAATTCCTGGTGACAAGGGGGAAAAACACTGAAGGCCACATCCAAGTATCTGTTGATTTAATTCTTTGAAGGCAGCCAGGAGGAAGGACTGCAAGCTGCACATAGCATCCATAAGCACCAGTGTGTGGGGCTTTCCACAGTAGCAGCCCTGCTGTCTCCTCCACCCAATTTGCAAATGAATACCCTGTGGCTGGGAAGTTAAATAATTTGGCCAAGGTTGAAACATGTGAGCAGATAAATGAGGGCTGCATCCTGCTATGTGTCACTCCTAAGCCTGCTCTCACCATATCCCCTAGCACTCTCCAAGGTAAAGCAAGACTTTTATTTTCCTTCCTTAGTGGTGATACAAGAAGCTATCAATCAGGTCATGTGAATATGAGAACTGAAAGCCATCACTATTGTCACCTCCATAAAGTGTCCCTCAGATGCTCTTATAAGTAGCTAGCACCCATCTATTCTAGTAACATCAGACGCATGCCACAGATCATGCCTTCGAGCTTTTGCATATCAAGTCCAGAGGCCCAGGGACCCTACCTGTTGAATAGCCAATCAACACATGCTAATCACAAAAGGTCTGAGGTTCTCTCCTTTCCTATGTCATGCCCTTTCAACCAAAACAGTTCAATGCAAACTTGAACTCCAGTCTCCAGGGATGCCAGATTCCATGAGGTAATGCTTAGGCTGATGGGCTGACACTGACCAACTTCTCAGATTCACCTGACTGCTCTCTGCACGCAATACCTCCTGTCATCCTCACGGCAACCCTATGTTGTACCTGTGATTATTATTTCATCTTCCTTATAGCACAGCGGTAGGGCATTTGCCTTGCACGCAGCCAACATGGCCGACCTGAGTTCGATTCCTCCACCCCTCTCAGAGAGCCCGGCAAGCTGCCAAGAGTATCTCGCCCGCACGGCAGAGCCTGGCAAGCTCCCCGTGACGTATTCGATATGCCAGACACAGTAACAACAAAGTCTCCAATGGAGACGTTACTTGAGCAAATCGATGATCAACGGGAGGGCCTTTACTTTACTTACTTTACTTCCTTATGTGAGACTGAGGAATCAGAAACTTAAGACACTGCTAAGATTGTAGGTGATGGAGTTGAATCCATCCTGACATAGGGAAACTATTTCAGGCAACTTTTCATCTCTTCGTAATTTAAATGGGAGGGAAAGAAGGAAGGAAAGAAGGAAGGAAGGAAGGAAGGAAGGAAGGAGGGAGGGAGGGAGGGAGGGAGGGAGGAAGGGAGGGAGGGAGGGAGGGAGGGAGGGAGGAAGGAAGGAAGGGAGGGAGGGAGGGAGGGTGGGAGGGAGGGAGGAAGGAAGGAAGGAAGTAGGGAGGGAGGAAGGAAGGAAGGGAGGAAGGAAGGAATCGAGGGAGGGAGGGAGGGAGGGAGGGAGGGAGGAAGGAAGGAAGCAGGGAGGGAGGGAGGGAGAGAGGGGAGGGAGGGAGGGAGGGAAGAAGGAAGGAAGGAAGGAAGGAAGGAAGGAAGGAAGGGAGGGAGGGAGGGAGGGAGGGAGGGAGAGGGGAGGGAGGGAGGGAGGGAGGGAGGGGGGAGGGAGGGAGGGAGGGTGGGAGGGAGGGAGGAAGGAAGGAAGGAAGTAGGGAGGGAGGGAGGGAGGAAGGAAGGAAGGAAGGAAGTGAGGGAGGGAGGGAGGGAGGGAGGGAGGAAGGAAGCAGGGAGGGAGGGAGGGAGAGAGGGGAGGGAGGGAGGGAGAGAGGGGAGGGAGGGAGGGAGGGAGGGAAGAAGGAAGGAAGGAAGGAAGGAAGGAAGGAAGGGAGGGAGGGAGGGAGGGAGGGAGGGAGGGAGGGAGGGAGGAAGGAAGGAAGGAAGGAAGGAAGGAAGGAAGAACCTATCTAAAAGCAGACAAGACAACGGTCATGAAAACCTTTCCTCAATGACGCTACTGGTCTCACATCTAATATTACATGACATCAGGGACCACCGTGTAAAGATTCTTCTATTGTACTGTGTGTAATTTTTTGGTTTTAGACCACATCCAAAGGTACTGAGGAGACCCTGCAGTTCTGGAGATCAAACTTGGACCCCTTGCATGCACTCAGCTCTTTTGATTATCTTTCTGGCACTAAATGGGGTGAAATTTTAAACTGCAGGTTAAAATTAAGTAAATTAAGGCCTTTGTTTCAAGTCTGGAACAACAGCACCACTCTCCCTGCCCCTGCTTAGTAGGCAACTTCCCAGACACTGGGAATTCCACCGCCCACTCTTCATAGCCTTGCCTCCAACCAGGCCAAGCCTCAACACCCCATTTTGGAAGATAAAGAGGCAGTAATACCCAAGCCCAAAACAAGAGTGGGCCCACTAAGTAGACTCTAGAGATTACCACTGTAAATATTTGTTAGAGATAAGATTCTGGCTACACCTTGCAGACAAAACTGCAGTGACTCTTCCAGACACTAGAGGGTGGTGTGCCCACAGCCTGCTCTCTCCACAGTGCAGGAGATTTCTGAAAATGCATTTTGGTTTTTGGTTTTTGAGCTGCACCGCGCTGTGCTAGTTGGACTTGGGATGGGGGCTGGGGGTGATCTCTTGGAGCCATGTGGTGTCGGGAATTAAACCCAGGGACTCACACATTGAAGGAAAATACTCTACCACTGAGCCACACTCCCAACCACATTCTAGAGAAAGTACCTCTTCCCTACTACAGCTGCCAGGACTAGGCCCAATGCTTTGGGGACCTTGCCAGGGATCAAAGGTGGGGCACATACCTATATACCCGTAACAATAAACTTTGAGCTTATTGTTAGTTATTCTATAAAAGAATTTGTTTACATGCTTTATATCTTTGACAGTTGGTATTAGTGATGGTGGTAGAGGATATATACTGAGAGGTAATTAGCATAAGCATCTCTGTCTTGATCTTGGTATATATAAAACTGTGTTAGATTATTTGCTCAGAATATTGTATCACTTTGTTTCCACTGTTTGACATGTGTCCTGAATATTTCTGAGTGTAATGTGTTCATGTTCACTGATTTATCAAGCCCCTGATGACTTTAGTAGAACAACAAATGGTTTCTTTTGCCTAATTACCAAAATTGCACAGTAAACCTGATAAACTATCTTTATCTGGTTTATTCAGTTAAAGTTTTAAAAAATATTTTATTTCAGGCACTTGTTGTTTGCAATACTGTTAAAGATTTTATTTATTTTTTGTTGATTTTATAAGGTAAATTTAAAAGATATCATTTTTAATTTTTTTGTTTGTTTTTGGGTCACACCCAGTGATACTCAGGATTTACTCCTGGCACTGTCCTCAGGAGTTACTCCTGGTGGTACTCAGGGGACCATATGGGATACCAGAGGTCAAACTCTGGTCAGTCATGTGCAAGGCTTACCCACTGTACTGTCTCTCTGATCCTTCATATTTAAACTTTAAAAAAAATACATATTTAAATCTTGTTTTGAAACAGTGCTGTCTAAAGTGGTATTTTACAATATTCATTGTAGATACTATTTACCTTCCTAGAATTTATTATTCCCTCGTGTATCTTTAATTATCACTGTCATCCTGTTGTTCATCAGTTTCCTCGAGAAGGCATCAGTAACGTCTCCTTCGTC